TATTTATGTACATATGTATTAAATATTACATATACATATATGTATTATATGTGGATATGAATGTGTGCGCAAAAGTATTTACAATGAAACTTTATACTCAAAAGCGAAGGGTGTCAAATAAAGTCAAACAAAATCGAAAGCGATCTTCAAGTGTAATCAGCTGCTACTACATACCAATGAGCTACCCCCGAAACGGGAATTTGCTCGTTATGAGTAGTCACTCGCTGCCCTCGCGATATTAGCTTGACAAGTGCAATCGCACTGATGACTCCATGACATCGGCGCATGGACGAGCATCCGGATGGCTATGTGAATAAATACTGGGAGATACATATATACATACATATGTATTTACATTCGTATGTATATATGTATGTAGGAATAGACACAGTAATGCGAACGTAAGAATGGTTGTGGGTGTATGTGTTTGGTAGTGGCGTATGTTTATTGAGTAATTGATACGCCACTCACGCGTATGCCTTTAAAAATACAAAAACAAAAAAAAGTCCGTGCCTCACCCAGCCCCTTTTGCTGCCATTACTACTTCGTCTCCAACTACTTGATGTGATTTCATGCTGTTGTTGTTATTATTGTTGCTGTTCCTGGTCTGTCATAAATGTCGGCTAAATTGAGTATTCACTTATTTATGAACTCCAAATATATTTAAGTTTGTATGTATGCATGTGTGTATGTATGCATATTTTCATAGCAGAATTTTACAGTTGCATGCCGCTGTGTGGAAAGGGCAGAATTTTTGTTGGGGGAAAAATACTTGTACTTGTGGTTTCCAAATCAAAATGAGAAAAAATAAACAACAACAACAAATTTGTTATTGCATCGCAATCTCCCCTCTGCAGCCTCACTTGGCCCAACCAATATTGGTCGTCGCCAATCTACATACGCAGTCACGTACATACCCACATACATATACGTATGTATGTATTTATATTACATGCATATCAGCTAAATTGTTAAATAAAAGGTTTAAATAAAAACTGTTGCATCTTCTTGTTGCCATTACAGCGGCCATCAACAATGATACATGTTGTTGTTGCTATTATATTGATGCTTGTTGGCCTTTCATGTTTCGAAAATTGATCGTTGCTTTTGATAAAAATTAATTTATATTACCATACTCATATCCGCTACTGTTGCGAGACTCACCCCTCCGTATCCGTCTTTCCATCAACAGCATTGTGTGTGTGTTGTCTGTTGTCTATTATGTATCTACCTTCTGTGGCTTCTACGTAGGTTCCCTGTGCGTGTGTAAGTGTGCGCCTGCTAATGGATCGATAGACTGGCAAACTGTTCAAAATCACATAGCAGACCTCCATAGTTCAATATGCCAAATCGGTTTAAATTATCCGTGTGTTGTTTTCAAACTACCAGAACATTACCGAGTTCGTATTTTTCACATGCGGCTGAGGGTATGGACATTTGTACTTTTGTACATATGTACATATGTATGCGAGTACTTTTGTAGTAATATACAATACATATTTCTCTTACTCATCAGGAGAATGACCATTTCATCATCTAATTGCCATCACCTGCAACTCTTTCTTCGAAATGGATATCACAATAATTCATATTTTTAATAGCGAACCAAAATTGCTCTTTATTTAAAGCGCTTTTGCCTTAAAAATAAAAGCTTGCAGTAAATATTATTTGAGGAAAAATATGATTCATTGGTTCTCCCCCATAAGAGATTGGTGAATGTCATCTCTTCGCATGCTCATATATTATATATGTGCATAGATCTTCTCAACTCCCTTTTCCGTCTTAGAAGTCTTTTTCCAGATAACTCATTTTTTAATGCACACATAATTGGCCCTTCTAACCGTTAAAACGAATTTCGGCCGAGCACCTCCTCCAATTTGTCGCGTTCGACTTGATGTCTTTACCAACAAATGGTGGGACCTACTATTTCTACTAAGCCATCTCCGAACGGCTAATGGTTTTTTTGTGAGGAGCTTTAGTTTAAATCAGAAATACACTCGGAGGGCTTGACATTCCGTGCCGAGCAGCAGGTTTGCAATGCTTGAGTTGGTTTTTTGTGTTGCCCGCAAATTCTTCCATAAATTAGATGGACACAGTTCCAAATTTTTCGCGCTCGATAACGGATAGACTCATTGGGATCTTTTTCGTTACTCTGCTCCACAGCAGCAATACCGTCTTCAGTGCGCACTGCACGCCACCTCTGGGGATGCGATTATCCACTAGAGTAAATATGGAACGTAACCGATCCATGGGTAGCTGGCTTATGTCGCCCAAATATTGGACGAAGTACAAGTGGCGTCGCGCGAACCGATTCCATGATTTGCAAAGATGGTTCCAGAGTGAGCCTGTTCATGGAAATACAAGCCAACACTGAGTATAAATCAACAAGTTACAGCTACAATCCGAAAAAGTATTAAATCATTGAAAAGCATACGATCAGACCAGGACTCGAACCCATGAGGGAACACCGACATAAGTTCTTGGACTAAACTAAACAAACAAGAACATAGTTGGCATACGTGGGGAAGTACATAGAGCTTATTTAAGAGCTTAACTCGTTCTAAACAGATAATTTTACCTAGAAGGAAAACCGGACGAAACTTCAATCAACCCTAAAACTCCTTTCGCTTATGTTGAATAACAAAATAATTTTACGGCAGAGTGTTTTTTGACGGGCCTAAGCTTTGCTTGCACTAAAAAGAGCAAAAAGCAAGTCTAAAGATTTCACTTTCAATTTGTGAGGTAGAAATATTTGACAATATTTTTTTAAATACAAAGTATTGTATTTATCAATCAATTTTACGCTTTTTTTAGCTTACACTCTTGACCAAAAGATGCACTCACTTACAGAGGGTTTCAAGAAACAAGAATACTCGGATCCAAAACGGTGATCGCTAGTGACTTATCCCAAGAGTATAATGAATTTGTGGTGGGGCCACTTCTACAATCTAGTGAATGCCAGTGAAAGCGCATCAACCGCATATGGTGTACCGGAAGCACCCCAATTTATGGAAAAGGCTTTTAATTACCAGACTATGACGAGGTTAAAATAGCGATTGCTAATTTAAAAACCACAAAACGCCAAAAATCGACAAAGTTATTCAAACCTGGCGATGAAGAGCCGATAAGGTGCCCGACGGCTCTACGTGTAAGGAGCTGCCTCTACTCCGATATGTCTGAATTCGGCATCCCCGCAAAACTTATGCAGCTGTGTAAACTGACTTTAAGCAACAACAAAGCTCCATCTGATTCAAAAAGGACTTCGATAGCAAACGAAGATTTAGACAAAGTCATCTCCTATCGATTGACTTATTTAATCTATTGCCGAAGGAAGTTCAATGAAACAAGCAGTCGTCTGATTCTCGATGAGGCTTTTACGTCACTTTTGCCATTCCTAACTTTGAAGTTATAGATAACAATTCAATCTATCTATCTTGGAACCAGTATTGATGCCAACAACAATGCCAACCAATAAATCCTACGCTCATGCCAACAGGAGCAACTTTGGACAGAGTCGACAATTGAAAATAAAAGTCCTCTCACGACGAGCAAAGACCAAACACAAGTCCTTCATCATTGCCGGCCTGCTGTATAATACGGATTATTGGCATCTAAGGCGACATAGTGTAAACTGTAGGTCCTCCATTCGTTGGAAAAAGTATCAAGACGCAAAACCACGAATTCGAGGAGGAGATCGATCGATAATCGCTTCAGCGGTGACTTCGAAGAGAGAATGAAACATCAAAACCATGATATAATACTTTAAAGGTAGTTTCATTCTCTGTTCGCAGTCGGAGCGGATAGCAGCGAAAAAATAGATATGCTCGCAGAGTTTACCAGGGTTATGACTTTTGTCAGGGATTTCCTTATAACCATGGACCCAAACCACGGACGTTTCGCATACAGTCTTTCCAATTTATTATTAATAAAGAGCATCTAGTTGAGTCAATATTATTAGTTCTGCCTAGAAGATAACCCCAGAAGTAATTCAAAAATCTCCAAGCTGAATATCCTTTAAGTGGCAACATCAACCAATTCTAAGCAAGCACGTTTAGAGTCAAAAATTTCGAAGTGAAACTAGCTTATATTGTAGAATTTTTGCATACAAATGAAGGAAGGTAGCAAGGCAAATCTACACACAGTAGTAGCAAGAATACAGGAACAAAAGGCCTATGTATTTTATTTGTGTAATCGTAGTTTCGAAAAGTCAAAAACGAAATTCGTTCAATATATTTTGTTGGTGTAATAAAAAGCTCGAAATGTCAAAACCTATTTCTCAGGTGTTTTGCTTGTGTAATTTGTTGACAAGGACGAAGGAAGAACAAGCAATCATCTGATGTGACAACTTCACCTTCTATAAATTCGCCTTCTAAAGTAGTTTCACTCAATATAAAACTGACAAAAAAAGATTTTATGAAATATTATATTATTTTCATTTTGACTTTAAGATATTGCCATTATTTTTTAAATATATTTCATATATTTTTTTACAAAAAAAAATGCTAAGCTGATTGAAAATAATTTTATTTCCATTAGATTTTAGAAAATACAATGCCTTGAGTATGATTTTTTTTAAAAGACTTTTTTGTAATATATTTTCTTTGATTTTAGAAAGTTGAACATTTATTTTTTAAAAAATAAAATTGGTTGCACAAAAATATAGCAAAAGTCAACAAATCTTTTTATATCAGATGGTTAATATTTTTGAAAAAGATTTGATTGAAACTACCTTGTTTTTTTGTATTATGAGCATGATTATGACTTTTTTGTTAATAGTCTGTTATATATAATCATACATATAGTACATATGTAGCACAAAACTTTACTCTCCGCTTGGAATAAAAAAATTGTTTTTTTATTTATTTAATGGCACTTTATTATTGTTTTTTCTCGACCAAAAGTCTATTATTGTCATTTTATATATTTACAACTCACTTACAAAATTAACTAAATACATATTAATATATAATCATTTTATATTCACTGTTACTCATCGGCTTTTATGCATTAAACTATTAAATGTTAATACTATTTGAAAGGCATTAGCATATTTCGAAACGTAAAAATCAATACTTTATTTAAGAAATGCTAAATAATTTAAAGTTATGTATGTATTTGCACACAATTAAATATACTTATGTATACATATATATAAAAAACATTGATTATGTATTTGCCTGCATACCGCTCTTCTTGCGTGTGTTATGAATGATGCATCGCCTGCATCGTCGCCTGCACCGTCGCCTGTTGCGGATGTGTTTGATGTTGACGATGCAATTGGCCCCACATAACGCCGCCGGATGTCACCGCCGCTGTCATTACGTTCGCTGCACTGTCCGCTTTCAATTTCACCGTGATTGCGTCACCATCAATTTCTCCACGTTTCGATTTGTAGCGACGATTTTGAAACCAAATTTTCACTTGCGTTGGCGATAGATTGAGTTTGTGTGCGATAACTTCACGTTCGGCACCTGTCAGGTACTTTTGCATGCGAAAGCGACACTCCAGCTCCAGCACTTGCGCTTGAGAGAAGAGTACGCGCGGTTTGCGTTTGCAACGCGGTTTGCCATTTTTACGCAATTCCGAACGGGAGGAGGTGACTTGGGAAATGTCCCCTGAAAATGGCAGAAATGAAGGAAAGAAAAAGAAAGAAAGTTACGATTTTGATTTATTTTAAAACTAAATTTAAGCTGGAGTTCACTCTCCCATCCTGACAATAAGCGAATTTTTATAAATAATTTCGGAATTCAAATAGAAGGAAAGTGGGGCATATTAGGTAGCTCTTATCCTTTACTGCGGCCGCATTAGTCGAGTAATAAGCGCTGACCATGCGGTGGTTTTGATTTCAGGCCAGATTAACATTCAAAAGAAAATAAATTTTAAATATAGTTCTTATAATGGGAGGTTCGGACTGTAAGGAGGATGCTTGCCCTTGCCTCTCAACTAAGCTCTCGGATCTTCTGATGTGTAATCTGGCGTTGTTCTGGGCGTTTACTTCCTTCAGATGGCCCAATTACTGACAGTACAGGAATAGAGGAGCAGATCATAATGTATGATTCCTTGCCAATCCCGTCAATTGCACAACAATACCTTCCTGACCGTCAATCTTGGCTTGGACATCATTTGTACCGACTACTGCTCTTCGATCAGTGCCGTTTTCGTTTGGCGTTGCCGAAAGTGATCCACTTTTCATGAACAGTCACCAACAACCTCAGAATTTTGTTACGATTCAGTAGCTCTTCGCAAACGAAATTCGAACCATGAAGTTTTTTCTCGTTAACTCCTGTGGAGCTCATACAAACATCGAGCGCCTTGTGTATCCATCGTTTTTCAAGTGGTTCAAAACTTTTTCTTGTGTAATATTTAGCTCCTGATGCTCGCATGACGGGCGTACCAAAATTATGCATGATAGACTGTTATAGTACCAGGACCGTAAACACTGTCACATTTTCAACTGCTTGACTTGCGTTTACTCCTTTATAATGAAATTGGCTCTTTGCAAACGGCGATGAGATTTTCGGCCGAGATCCTCCACCAATTTGTGGTATGCGTGAAGGACTGCATGACGTTCCCTGCCGAGGATCGACCGCAGTTAAATAAATTAATATTCTATAATTGCGAATGTTGGTTGAACCTGGACCCGAATGCCAGTACGCGATACTAACGGCTGCGCTGTTGCGGCCGCTTTTATCGAAGAAAAAATTTAGAATTTACTCAAACACTGATCAACACTTTTACCATTTTCTTTTTTTTTTTTTGCACAAAATATTATCTTAAGAACGCGAGACGCAGACCACGCATCTATTGCAAAAATAATGGATTACATATATATGTATATGCACATATCTTTTACTAAAAACTATGATCTCTTATATCTACCATCAATCAGTTCGGGTGATATCTGTGAGTTGTCGAGGTCCATAGAAGCCCTTAGTCTTAGATCTTTCTTTGAACAATTCGGTTTTCGAAACTCTCGGTGAACTATAAATTTGTGCTGAATAAACACCCTCGGATCTACGTTAATCCAACCTAGTATAGCAAGCTCTTCAAAGTAAAAAGTTTCAGCTTTTCAATATCACTTGGAATATTATCAGAGATTAGGGAAGAGGAGAACTTGCGCATTGGACCTAGTCTAGAAGACCATTTGGAATGGAGTGTTCTACAGCTTAATGTTAAATACTTCTACATAAGCATAATTATTCAAACAACAACACTTACTGCGCTTGGAAACTGCACATTCTCCACTACCACCGACGCCACTATTCCCCGCCACATTTTCCCCAGATGCTTGCGCACTGCTCGAAACACTTTTTTGTGCGCCCAAACTTCCATTCATATTACCCAATCCGTTTGCCCCACTATTGGTCATATGCTGTAGCGATGGGCCATTGTTATTTGTGGTGTCCATTAAATTTTGTAAAGTTTGCTGCGTCGGCACAATCGACTTGCTATGACTACCACTACTCTTCGACGGCAACGCTGTCAGTTTCGCTGGCATAGCAGATGTACCGGTGTGTGGATCGCCCACCACCTCCGTCGAGCTATTCAGATCCAAGGTGGGCGATGGCGTTACATATGGCGTGGACGCATAGTCACTTTTATTGCTGGCGATTTCGATGTTGCCAACGCCATTTATGCCATTCATGTAAGCATCACCTGGATTTTGATAATTATAATTGTATGCAGTTGGATGTGTGGCCATTACGCCATACGTCGCTGCCGTCGACGAATTTGGCGAAACACTGCTGACGGCAGGCGGGCACATGGCATTTGGATTGGTGGTCACGCCGGGTGTGGGCATATACCATTGGACCGGTGTGCCGTAATGCTGATGGTAAGGAGGTACGTGATGTGTATGTGGGTGTGAATGAGGTGGATGTGTTGTATGCGCTCCTGGATGGCTATGAGGATGTGCGTGGAGGTGGGGTGGATAAGTAGCGGACGCGGCTACGGCATGTGGAGCTGTAGCATATTCACCGAAATTCGCATGCGGAGGATGATGATGATGATGATGAGGATGGTGAGGGTGAGGGTGAGGGTGAGGGTGATGAGGATACTGGTAACCGGATGCTGTGGCACTTGCTCCAACCGCTGCCGCTGCTGCCATAGACGCCGCCGTCATGGTGGGCACTTGAATATGCGACATAACTTGTGTTTCCTGGTAAATTGCTGTGTCGTAATCGTTGACGCAAGATGCCGGTGTAGAATCGCTATGCATGGGACTGTATGTGAATGAGAAAGAGAAAGAGAGAGAGAGAGAGAGCGATAAATTAAAATAAAAAATAGAAAGCGGAAATAGGCATTTGGTAAATTAAAATTAGTCTCTCCGAATATATCCACCCCCTGCAGGCATAATTAATGCAACACATGTGTTTGCACATTGACCGTTTAGCTCATATACCGTTATGTTGCAGCGCATATGTGTACACAGCAAGACATTGGCGTTTAAGTATTGGACGGAATTCAAGGGAGTTTTGCAAAACTCCTGCTGTTTCCTTGGTGACATTGTGGGACGCTGCCTTAACTGTTAACTGTATGTATGCTAGTAATGCAAAAAGGTACTACTAAAATAGAACAGCTCTTTAACAGTCGGTAGCCCAGCGGTCGTAACATGCACTTCACATATGTTTCATATGTATGTAGGTATGTGTGTCAATCAAGTCCGAGGAAATCGATGCCAACTTTCTGACGTTCACATGTGACCGTTTACCTACAGCTAAGATATGTTTAGATACAGATACACACACATACACACAGTCAGTCGTAGATACTTAAAGAAGTCGAACAAAAACGGTCATCATCTTCTACGCAGGCGCCCGCGACCCAACTTTCTATTGAACTCACTCCAAAGTAATATGAAAATATGTCAGTTACACATGCATATGTATATATGTACATATGTATGTACACACTACAGCGAAGTTAAAGGAAAAAAGTTAACCACGTATTTGCATTTGTATGCATATACATATATATGTATGAATGTACCTCTTCTACACACATACCCCATACTCACACGCAAAGGTTGGTTAAAAAAACAACATCGATGATTTGACAAAAATTTGCCCAGTTGAAGAAGGCAACCGAAAAAAAATTCATGAATTTGAAGAAATAACAAATTTTCATCTTCCACATTTGCTCCACGTATGTATGTATATCAATGTGGTGCACCAGCACCAGTCACAAGCGCAAACACTTTTATTATTTGCGTAGGATGTTTTCCTTGCCGCTCGTCTGCCCTCGTCTACCTCGTTTAGTTTTGTCAAAAGCAAAGGCTTTGGCAGGCCTTTCTTTAAATATGTATATATGTATATATATATATGTATATATGTATGTATGTATTTGTTTTTATTTTATTTTTCTTAAATTATTATTTTTTCCCCTGCGCTCCGTTCAATGTATCTTTGTGTGTGCATCCGTTTTGGCCTATGAAAACACAGACATGGTCGTGGTTGTTGTGTTTTCTTTGGAAATTGTTCAAAATTGTTCAAAATTGTTTTTTATAAGGCGTTATTAAATGTAAATAAATAGATAGTAAGAAGAAACCGCAGTGTTGTTGGATGACAGCTTCTTTTATTTGGCTACCTGACAGTGTAAAAATTTTTATTTCATCTCAAAATATTATAATGCAAGCCGGTATATTTATGAATGTCATACTGTCATATGTCTGTATGTAGGTTTATAACTGGTTAATGTGTCCCAAACTTGGAAGAAAAAATGCTATAACCAAAAAAAAAAAAAAAAAATACAGTTTTGAAAGTCCAGATGTGCATTAGGGTCTTCCTCGTTTTTGAACTTGAGCAGCAGTTAAAAAGCACTGTTGTTTAGCGTGTAGCGGATCTGCGCTGTTTCATGGAAAGAGACTTTTCATAGAAGTGGAATTATCGTATTTTGGAAACACTTTCCTACCTCTGTCTCACACAAATTGCTACCACAATTGAGAGACTTATCGATAAGATTCCATAGAATATTTAGAAAGCTCACAAACCCTTGAAGAGTACAATCTGAAGACTGCAAGTGCCGGGCAGGGGTTTAAGTATTTTCTGTGGTCGTAAGTAAGAGACGTCTGAAATCCAAAAGGTCTCGCGACAGTCGGGTATTTATACCGGAACGACCCGAATTTTTATCCGGCCGTCATCGGACTGTCAATCCCGCAACATCCTACGAAAACTACTTTGGCGAATATTTTTGCGGCTCCAACAACAGCAAAACAACACAATCTGACGACAGCTCAATAAACGCTGAGGAAATACTAGCATTACCCAATCACTGGCATCTTCTAAACCAGAATAAAATATGGAATGCCAAACAGACTCCGCTAAGTGTTGGGGTTCTGATTTAATTTAATTCCTTAAACATGATATCGACTGGTCAAGTTATTTTGAGTAAATGTATGTAACAGTACATTTGGCAAGAGCGAATCCAGCACAAGCAAATATTTGATTTTAGAAGAGAACTTAAAAATTTATGAAGAATTGCAGTTAAATATTGTATTTTAAAAGATTTTAAAGTGTGGCTTGGCATCTGATCTCCTTTTGGAAGTAAGATTTGTGTTTATTAGAGTTCAGTGTTACCAGAACTTTTATCTCAAGGCAGTGCACATGTAGCTGGGATAGGGGATGTGAAAAAATTAAATTATTATTAAAAATTAAATTAAACAAATTAATAGTTCATATAATAATTTTGACTTTAAAACTTCAGTTTCATACAAACGATCAACCAATATTTATTTTATAAAAAAAAAGTATATGCATTGCCCATGGCTATCTATAGCCAATGTGAAATCTTATCACCGGCCAGCAAGACAGTGATGACAGTATTTTCCCTCCCTAAGAAATACTTCTGTATACATACACGCGTTGCTGCTCTTAGTGGTTCGTATATTATATGTGGCTTCAAAATATCTATGGAAGTCCGATCCCAATACATAATTTGGGCAAACTAATCCTGCTTCTGCAACCACTATCAAACTTTAATGAATAATAAATTTAGGTCTCATATAATTGCAGAAGTTTTTCTCCATTAACCTAACCTCACTTCACGCATAGCAATATTGCCGACGGTGATAATGAGCTCAATGACTATGTTTAACTCAGGATTTTTCAAAGCGAAGACAAAAAAGCCCCGTTCAAGGACCGAGTTATTTGAGTTCGAAGGGAGAACTACATCATTCTCCTATAAACGCTGGCGGCCGCCATAGCCGAGTGGTCAGCGCAACGTACTATTACTATTCAGAAAGTCCGGGTCCGAGTCTTGGATTGATCAACAACCAAAATTATAGTATTTGTTTGGAATGGCAAATTACAGTGGCGTAAAGCCATCGCACTTAATCTCTGAGGTAATATTTAAACCTTCTCTTTTTAAAGTGCCGATTAAATCCAACTAAATCCATTTCCTGCAGCTAAATGTAGACGAGTAAGACTAGATCTAGATTTCTACTTTTTTCTAATTGTGGTCGCCCCTCGGCAGAAAATGTCAAGCCCTCATAAAACTTCGTCGACCGTTCCGAGGCGGCTTAGATTAAACTGTATATATATGTATAATTCGCCCTGTGCCCACTGAAGCAATTTTTGGTATTGATCCTTCTTAGAATTGTACTGTGTATATACACGTTATGCCAATAAATGAAGGAATATGCACCCTTCTTCCAACTCCGCAGTCCTTCATTCAGTTATTTTATTATTCATCAAATTATTTTTCTATAATTTTGGTCGGGGTTAGAACCTATGACGCTGACCACTCAGCCACTGCCAACCAACTGTTCTTAAGTTGGAAGAAGTGAATGTTAAATAAAGCCTTTAATTTCCACTTGTGTTGTTGGCACCTAAAAATTAAAGAATTCGCTGTCTGAAAAAAATTTTTCGTCCATACCCTTCATTAAAACTAAAAAAAAAAAAAAAAACCATTCATATTATACATACATTACACCAAAATACATATACATAGATATACATATGTACTTCATTAAAACTAAAAAAAAAAAAAAAAAACCATTCATATTATACATACATTACACCAAAATACATATACATAGATATACATATGTATTTCAATAAAATTTAAACTGAAATATTTTTTATTTTAATAATTCATTTAATATTTATTTTATATTATTCAAAGAAGCAAATCTTATTATTTCAATATTTGACCCACATAAATGCATATATGAATGTATTCACTTTATGTCCCATAAATTGTTATGCATGTCACTGTTAAATTGTTATTGTAACAAGTGGAAGGAAATGCCCAACTAACCTCTCCATTGAGCCGAATACTTCATAATTCTCGTTCTGATTCACCAGATTCAGTATATCCTTAACTGAAAATGGCGTTGTATTTAGGGAATCGGAATTAGTAAATGAATTTGTTGGACTGGACTGGTTGTAATCGTAGTATCCTTGTGACACCTGTGACTGCTGTTGATGTTGTAGCATATTGTTCGGTTATGACGACGGCACTTTTCACTTGTTTTGGCACTTTGCACTGTCCACTTGAGTGTTTCGCACAAATACACGTGCTTGCGAACGAAAAAAAATGTATATATTATATTTTTCTGCTGTTTTAATCGCACACCTGCACTGACTAGATGACTAGTTAAGCTACGCACTATAAATCTGCTTTTCCGTATACATACGAGTATGTACGTACTTGTGCATATGTATGTAAATACTTGAATGCACTTATAAATAATCTATTGCAATTTACATTGTTTACCGTTACGGTAAATGTTAACGCGTTATAATTTCAATGCGGACTGGCCGCTCGACTGGTTCCGATTGACTGCCTTCTTCTGATAATTAACTGTAAGCCAAAACACTCAACACAACTCGCTGAGCCCATGTGTCAGTTGGTATTCGTTGATGCACAACAGCCCATATGTATGTGTATGTATGCAAGCAACAGGCCCATGTTGTAGGCAACACGTTTTCTTATTTGCTTTGCATTCGCAAGTCAAACCCTTTAGTTGCTCGTTTCTTAACCAAATGCTGTGTTTAGTTGGGTAAGTTGGTTGCGTGTGTTTTAAAAATGGCTGTCAAACCACCAATCACAATGAAGCTGTTCGTTTCGTTCCGTTAATGATGGTTGTTCCGTTGCCATTTTGTTACACATGCCATTCAGTCATTGGTTGATGCGTTTTCAGTTACATTTCCCTTTGGTTTCTTTGATTTCTAGTTGCTAAATAAATCTGGAGTGCTTGACAAATTGCATGGAAGCAATTTAGGCATTTCTTATCAAACATAGAACATGGAAAATATGAAAGTGAATATTTCTATAGATTAGAATGCCATCATTTCTTGCAGTATGCTTATATGTATGTGTGTTTGCATAAAAGTACGTTACAAATGATATTCTGAATTTTATAATTGATTCTTGTAAAAAGAAATTATTTATTTACCATCAAATATTATTAACACGTTGTTATGATAAATCCGATACGTTCAAGATAGTTAGCAAATTCCTTACACTAAAAGTACTAAAAGTGGTGGAAGAGGTGGCAATTTTCACGCAATTTACTCATTTTGTTGAAATTTTAATTTCGACATGAGACTATCCTGAAATTAGTTTCTGCTATTTATTTCTTGCATTTGTTGAAATATAAATAGCAGTGTGACTGTAATCATTTATCTGAAATATGATCAATGAAATTTAATTTTCAATTGCTCGTGCTCCATTAACCCATATTATTTCCCTGTCGAAGGATTTTTGTATTGTGAAAGAAGATTTTTTATATATTATTGGGAATTAAGCTAATTTTCAGAAACTTAAAATCAATTTCGAAAATTGTTTTTTTGACATTCAGTTTAAAATTAATTAATTGCTGCGTCTGACGACATCTTTGGAATAAATATTACGAACCTTTTAAGAATTGAATTGAACTCACTGCTCGTCTTGGTGCTATGTGTTACTTATAATCCTTGTGCATTTCAGGAAACTTGTTTTGGTAGATTTCATGTTCCCATAAAAATAAATAAGAGTTTTCATTCTGCTTTGTGGGTTTCATTTGACATTAAATTCCTAAATTACTGAATATAAATCCTCAAGAAATGAAAAATAAGTTTATCCTGTTTGTAAATCATAAGTAATTTAACATTTCCGTCATTCAATCAGCACTTAAAAATATAAAATCAGCTGATCGAATTGCACATCCAATTAACACACGGAATAAATTTCTCATTCATGTCAAACATAGTTTCAAGAAATTCAAGCTTCACCTTTTACTAGTAATATGGAAATTATTATAAATGAATACAGAAAAACTTAGCTCCATTAAAGGATCTACCAGTCATACACTGCCATAAAAATATTTGTATAAATAAAAATTTAGTGTAAGCACCTTGTAAAGTTTCAAGAATTTAACCACCTAATGATCTGGCATCACTACATTGTTTTTGCAGGCAGCGTTGAAAACAAAATCGCTTAAATTGCTGTAATTACTATATGTTGTTTTAAAATCGCATAAATTTTGTTAAATATTTTTAAAACACTGCAAAAAAGTAATGTAAATTCGTGACAACAAAAATGGCATCACATTTGGATCCTCAACTTGAGGATAGAATATTGCATGAGGTGAAGTCACAAGGTGTTTTCGATGAGTTTCGCAAAGATTCAATGGCAGACGTGGACACCAAGCCTGCTTACCAAAATCTGAGACAACGTGTTGAGAATACAGTTAAAAAGTTCCTATCTGAGCAACAATGGACGCCAGACATGAATAAAAATCAACTACGTGAAAAATTACGAAGACATATAACAGAGTATGTTATTTGATAAAACGCAACTCAAGGTCATAATATGTACTTTTGGTTTATTTTTATTTTCCTTTGCAGGTCTGGTTTTTTAGATGTGGGTGTGGAGCGTATAGTCGATCAGGTGGTGAATCCGAAGATAGGCACAATTTTCCAACCACGTATTGAAGAGATTACATATAAATATTTAGGCCTACCACCGCCACCTGTTAAGCATGAACCACCGCCACCACCTATGATGCATCCGTTACCTCCTTTGCCGTTGAGTGCCACGCCTTTGAAAATAGAAACTAGTAGCCTATTGCCAACCGGTTTGGAACAAATAAGCCCTGATTCTGATAAAGCAACCGTAAAGTCGGAATGTCGAGAGGATGACAGATCTATTTTAGATATGGACCTTGATACGGATGAGAAAGTTGGCGACGAAGATGATGAATCTCCGCCTTTCGAACCTTTAGTTAAGTGTGTTGATGATAGTGTTCCCATAAACACGGAAAAATTTGAGGGAGCGGAAGAAAAAGTAGTTGAAAAACCTGTAGTAATAAAGCTAGAAAACTTTGAAATTGCAAATACACACAAATTGAAAGCTGCGAACCAACAAGAAATACGAGATTCTGAAACGCAAGATACCTCAGCATCAGCGAATTCAATAGAGAAAGTTTTGGAAAAAAATGCCAACATGTCATTCGGTGCGGCTGCTTTGGTATCGCAAGATTCAAACCTATCTCAAGTTTCTAGTGATAGTAATATCTCCGATGTTACCGCTAATGCATCACATAGTTTTACACACAATACCAATTCGAGTACACCCAAAGCTCCTGCAACAATGTCTGAGCAAATGGAAGCGGCGATTGAATTGGCTTCGGCGAATATTTCGGAAGAAGCGCAAATGCCAAAGTTTTCTGAAAATTCATCTGAAACGACAGGTGCAAAGTCAACGCCTTCTGAATTACATTTTGATATAAAAAAAGATGAGATTATATTTGAAGGTATGTAAAAAAAAGGTGAAGTGGAAAAATGGTGAATATTTTTTAATTTATTGTAACTGTATTTTAATCAACTAGGTACTGAACGAAAATCAAATATGCTGGAACAGGAAGCTGAATGCAATACAGTAACTGAAGATGATGTACCTGCGAATCAAGCGAATGGGTTTAGTGTTGAAATGCACAACAAGGAACAACCACATCACTTTAGCAACCATTTGGAAATTAAGGAGCAACAACATCACTTTGGTAAATTAACAATTGAAACCAAAGTGGAGGAAATAGATGCAATGGGCCCATGTACTCCAGCCCCTACACCAACTCCAACTCCCCATGACAGTAGTTTTGGTTCTTCATTAGAGGATTCAAGTTATCAGCAGTTTAAGGAAGATGAAAAAACGGAGGAAGGCGAATTAAAAACCGAGTCTGTGGCTGAGACCAACGCAACGTTCTCAGCGCCTTTGCTGGAACAAGGCGATAAAAAAGAGACTATTACCTCTAAAAATCATGGTTCTTCAACGTCATCATCGAAGCACAAAAAACATTCGAAGGACAAAAAACGTTCACATGATTCGAAAGACAAGCACAAAGATAGGCATCGAAGTAAACACAGGGATAGAAGTCGGGATAAGGATAAAAATAGTGATAAGGATAGAGATAAAAGCAAACATAGAGACAAAGAAAGGCATAGAGATAAAGATAGTAGTCGAAAATATAAGGATAAAAATAGAGATAAGGATAAAGAAAGGGATAGATCACACAAAGAACATAAAAGCAGTAAAAGTAAAAGTGAAAATAGCACAGAACGAAGCAGCAGCTCGAAACGCTCCAGCTCATCCACAGGACGTTCACACGATACAAGTTCAAGTAAAATCGAAAAACACGCTAATTCGAAACATCCAAGCTCATTCACAACATCGTCAAGCTCATCAAGTCGATCTGAAAGTCATTATGCGAAACGTGAAAAGCGTGATTCTGAAAGGAAGCATCATCGCAGTTCGTCTAAGAACGAAAGTAGTGCGAAAAGAGATGAAGAAAAAGTTGATGTTGTAAAAACAGAGCCATCCACCGATGATCATGGCCTTGAAAAAGCCAAAGTGCGTCGACGAAAGTCAACTGACTCAAATGACGAAGACCCGGGTGTCGGTAATGGTAGTGGACTCAATGGCAGTAGCGAACGTGCAAAAAGTAGCCTTAGTTCTATTGGAATCAGGAGTGACAAACAGACGAGTGAGCAGAAGGAACCCAAAAACTCTACCGACAGCCCTAAAGGAAAGACCAAAAGTGCTATAGAGGAATATGGTGAGTTTTATAACAAAATAATGATGATGATTATAAAACATTTATTTTTATTTGTTTATTTATTCTTTGTTTGTTTTAAAGGCTACCACGAAAACCATCCACAAGAGTTAATTGTAACAAATAACGCTAGCGGGACTACTGAATTGTCGACTCAAATTCACCATCGTAGCAAAGTGGTCATTTTAAACGATATGCTTGAAAATCCAAATATCAATTTTATAGACTTGGGACCAACAGCAACAGCGTACTCACTCCATACCCAAGATAAATCCTTAAAAGACAACAAAGTGGAGACTACAACAAATGCTCAACACCCCGAACAATCTGCCAATGTGGATTCAAAGGAACTCTTATATTTCGAAGGAGTAAGCGCACAGTTTTCGAATCGCTTGCGTCTGCTCGACAATGCAATGGATCGTTGTCGGCGTGTGGTGAATAATTTACGTTTCGATTGCGCCAATGAATTATGCGACACTTTCGAAACAGGCGGGGAGCAACAAAATGCAAACGAAACAAATAAAAGACCACAAGCATGTGCAACACTCACAATCGATTGTGTGCCCACATTTACAGCAGTGGGCGGTGTAAATCGAGAGAATAGTCCGACTGGTGTTTATGACTTGCATGGGTCACGTAAACGTAATAACAATGGCAATTTAATACAAAGTAAACCATCACCCACCCCGTCCGATGCGAGTGTGAATTCCAAAGAGAATATGGCGCTAGATAAGAATGCTGGTAAGCAAATTATTCGTATTGGTGCACAATTTCTATTGTAGATTTTTAGTAAAGTGCGTCATTTAACAGTATCATTTGTCTAGCGTAACTGTATATTGTTTAAAAGCTTTCCTTTATATGTTGGTAATGTGTTTTGGGGAGAAAAAGATTGTTTGTTGTAGTATTTAATGTTGGTTAGGAGGTAGTTATAATGCAATATAAAAAGTGGTGTCTAAATTAACAAGATATTTTTATACATGTAGCGGTTATTGTTTTTGCATTGTAGCAAAAAATTATGTTTTTTTTTAATTTTTGCAATTCTTTTCATTGAATTTATGTATGGTGTATATGTATGTATGTCTTATTCTCGCATTTTTGTAATTTTTTTTTGTATTTGTTGGGTGATTTATTTTGTAATTTTGTATATTTCACTTTCCCTTCCCCTTCATATTTGTGTATTTATTTTAATAAGGTACATTATTTCTAAGTTGAAATCCCTAAAATATAAAGATTATTTTTTTTTATTTTTTTGTTTTCATTAGGAAGTGAGCTCAAAATATATGTATATTCGCTAACATAACTTGCTCCATGTTAGACTTGCAATTCATACAGGAGCATGTACGATTATATGGCTTATTTCTTAGGCTCAGCAACATTTCATACCAAAATAATATTTCCGGCTATTAATATTTTACTTACTTGTGGCCAGCACAATTAGTATGCTTAACAACATTTCGAATTTTGCTAGTTGGAGAATTAATCGTACAAAATATCTTTAAATTCAGTAAATATTTTTGTGGTTAAATGATGAAGCTTAAGCAAAATTTAAATTTTTGTTAAAAAATTCCAACTCCTAAAGTAATTGTACCCGCTCTTCGAAATTAATTGTTGAAATAATGATAATTAATTAATGATTACTCTAGAAGAGAAAAAATTATTTGCTAATCAATATTACGAAGGATTTTATAAAAATTAATATTTATATTCAATCAAAAATGCTCAGTGTTCATTTCTAAACAAGAAATGTGTTAATAACACTTACAAATTAATATTTATTCGGTATAGATTTTTTTTGATTTTAAAAAAAGGTATTAATAAAATTCTTAAAAAAATAATTCATACGGAATCGAATTTTTTCGATTTTATAATAATTATTAAAAATCGGTAATTTAAATATCTAAATAGACGTGTTGTCGATGAAGCTATTTACAGTCGAATATTTTAATAAAACAAAGTTTTTTTTGTTTCACGCTCCATTGTATTTAACCACGCAGAGTAGGGAAACAAAATACACTTTGCAATATACCATTCCCTATGGTTGTTGTTCATTACTAAAATAAAAAATATCAATAAATAATCAAAGAGTTTGGAGCTCAAAACTGCATAAATTGTGGCGTAAATTTTTCTTTTGATTTATATTTCATTTTATTTTTATATATATTTTGTAATTTTTGCTACTAACAAACAAAATTTTGTAATTATTTGAAGAGATAAATTTTATACTTATTTCATTCTAAAAAATTGTATTAAAAACTAATTTGCATATTGTAATATAAAGATAATTAATTGTACAAAACACTTCTCCGGCACTGTTTGGTATAGTAGACACTCTGTGGTGGTTAATTTGAAATCCATATTAATTTATTTGATTAAAAAGTAAATACATATGTTGTTATACATATATATATATATATTGTTTTTTACTTTTCCTCGCTCTATTCATCATTGCTGTTTTAGATATGCAAACAAAATAAAATAAATAGAAAGAATGAAATGAAACAATGAAAAAACCAGTATGAAGCGAATTTTACAAGTATGTTTGTATGTACCGATAAAAAACAAAAGAGTAGCGCAACTAAGCGTAAAGCATGGTAAAGTAATATCATACTAGAAGCGTACTTAAACAATTTATAATAATTGCCTTGAGAAAAAGTCTTAAGCAAAAGCGATAAAAACAATGTATATCCTTCAAATTATGCTGGGTAAGCAAAGCAATTTGTTAATTAATTCTTCAAGTATTTATGTATTTGTTTTCATTTTATTAAACTTTATACTATTTTACTTTACGCTCAAAATTTTTAAGTGCCTCTTCATTTCATATCTAATTTGCTGTTATTCATGTAAACTTTGCTTTAATTTCCACTTAATTTTTCCTTTTCGTATAATTGTTGTTTACATACTTATTTATGTATATACATATATATGTGATATTATTAAATTTTCCTTTTCCATTCCGAATTTGTGATTTACAGATGAGGTGAAGTGTGTCGTTCGCCGCATTGCGTCTGTAAATAAAATGAGTCAACAGCGTTATACCAGTGAGGATTTGTACAAACCACGTCCTGTTTTAAGTCAACGTTCACGCCGTAGAGGTATGGATACGGTGATTTAGGTTTAGATGTTTTTTTTTTTTTTTTATGGAGCACATAGTAATTATAGAATTATACATATACACATACTATAGAAATATAAAAAAAAAATACATTATTATAATATTAATTAATAATAAATGAATAAAATAGCACTTATATGAATTGTGAACAAAAAAAATTAATTATTGCGAATATACATACATGTGATAAGTATGAAGTGGAAAAAATTGCCGCTGAAAGTTTCTTGCGTACATTAGATATGTCCTTCTTAAACAGTGGAGGGTAGAGCAGTATAACATCGTCTCGTTTACCTTGTTGTGGGAGCAGTTATCTTGTAATCGAGATACAAGCTGTTTCGCTGATGGCGGCTAGACTCTGACTTTCACTTCTTCTTCGCTTTGTTTAACCTTTGTTTTTATAGTTTTTCTTATCTCACAATGAGTTAATCAAGCTCTTGGATGTCTTTCACAGAAGGTATGCGTGAAGGAGTACATATGTGATTTTTATGATTTTGAGACCGTAAACACAAGTAGTAAGTAAAGCGCCCAACCGTAAAATAAAAGGCAAAATTCATTTGAATATTTTGGCGAAAAACATTTTTTTTTTTTCAGTTTTTCTGTTTGTAAATTACAAGTTTGTGTGTAATTTAATAACAATAAAATTTTTAAGTTAGCATATAATAAGAGTTTACATTTAATATAATTTAAAATAATATTAACAATTTTCATATCTTGCAGTCACCACGCTAAAACCACAATCTAAATATGTAGGTATGTAGAAGGAAAGAGGGGGAAAAATGGGGGTAATTGAAAATAATCTGTATTTAAAATAGCAAAATTAGCATTTGTATCTAATTAGAGCTCTAGAACATCGAAGGCGTGTCTTTTACTATATAATCACAGTAGAAATTCTGTTGCATCTCATATGTATATAAATGTGTGTATGTGTGTATGTTAGTATTGTAGAGAGTAGTGCAAAGATTCCATGTTGTAGCGTGGTAATGTCAGAATTTGTTTTATTGATTTTTTTTTCTTAGCTTGCTTGCGATCGCTTCACTGCTAAATACTCTGCCAATCAATTTGCTTACTTTTAATCCGGTTATTTTTGAATTTCTTTGAAATTCAAAATTTACACTAACGAGAATTTTTAAATCTACAACTATGCATGGCTGCATTTTTTGTTTTTTCCTTTGTGATTTCTTTTGATATTCTAAACTAAGTTTTGTTTTTTTGTAGTGTATTGTAATTAGATTACACGTTGATGCTCTTTTGCAAAGACTTTATTGTGTATAGGAAACACATAGAATAATTTTCCAAATTGATTTCATTTCCAAATTGATACTTTTTTTTTTGCTTTTAAATTTTATTTTACAAACATGAATATTCACACCGCCTTGAGATGGGGCGGTAGGGAGAGAGGGGGATGGCGTGTCATGTCGTGCCGTGTAAGAAAATGCCGATGAGCAGAGGTGGTGAAGGCAAAGGAAACATGCAATATATAAATTTAATACTAGAAGTGTTACATCAACAACATCTGAGTTCGGCGAAAAGTTCGATTACGTGCCCACAAACAATTAAAGCCAAAGGTTTTTAGCACTGCTACGTTCCTATGAGTTATTTTACAATAGTTTTTTTTTTTGTTTGTTTACAGCGTTTATTTTTACTTATATTCGTATATTTATTTATTGTATTCTCTCTTTTGCTTTTGTTCACTGAGCTTCTATCTCTTTGAAGAATGCTTAAAAGGCAGGTGATGGGTTTAAAAATACCATAAAGAAAACAAAAAACAACATGTATCACATTCATCACCGCGAAACGAATTCTCGCCATTTAATTTTAGTTCCTTCACTGGGGCACCACTTGCTTATCTTCTCGAATGGGAGGAAAAATGAGTTTGAGGTGTGGCACAGTGTGACGGTCCACGTCGACGCTGTTTCATAATACACCCACAACTATCCTCGCCGGCCATCTCACAACAAACACGCCAAAAATACAAATACATATAAGTACTATATACACACACCAGCATCGTCAAACGCAATTATGTTGAAATATATGAACGCGCATAGCTGGCATCTGGGCGCTCGTCATTTTACTGCAGATTTTTGTTTGGTCTTTTGTATATTACAATATATATTTTTTTATACTTCTTCATTTTTGTTTTGTTTACGCTCCCCTCTCTCCAACGTTCGCTCTGTTTCTGTGCAATAACGCTTAGAATTACGGACTCGAGTATCCTCGTTCAAATGGTCGCGTGCTCTTCACATCCGTGTGTCTCGTGTGTAAATTTAATGCTGATGTTGTCACATTACTGGGCAGTTCACAAACGCTTTTGATCGCTGTAGCGCTACCGGGCGTCGAACCACTAGACATACTGCCTCCGCTGCCTGTTGACGTCGCACTGTTTGTTGTTGTACTTGGAATCGCTCTGTGTTCATTGTCTTCGGCCTCGGTCGTTGTCACTGGCAACACATATGCTGTTTTTTCTGCAGATTCTACGGTGCTTTCTTCTCTTCGTTGCAACGCGTTTTTACCCGTTATCGATGACTTGTATGTGCTGTGATTGGAGCCGGCCAGATAAAATTTGAAAAATTCATATGTTGACCAGCAAATTGCTGTTGCTGGCATAGAGTATAACACACGCGCCAACATACCACGGAAGAAGCCTTTTACGCCTGCGACTGCGTAAATCTGGAAGCAGAAATGTAATTTCGAGATTTAAAATTTTCGCAAATATAATTAATGCTACAGGTGAGCAAAAAGACAGATGTTGTGGCATCAAAGCTTTAGAAGGGAATCAAATTTCTGTGAAAGTCATTTATTTAGAAATATTGGGAGCATTAAGTGGCTTAACCATAATTAGGCAAGACTTTGTTACCCCATTTTCTAATTAGGGGTGTACACTCCAATGGGAGGGGGGGCGGTGGGTCATGGTTTCGCCAAAGAACGTCCACTTCTCCATGTATATTTTGGGCATGTGGTATAAAACAGCCATTCGAAGACGGTTAATAAAAAAAACTGAATCAGACAGCGAATCGTTAGAGGCGGCTAAAATCCAATAGTTTTCGCGACAGTCGGATCTTTTTACCGGAACGAACAGGATTTGTATCCGGCCAAGGACTGTCACTCACTCCCTCAATAATCCCCAAAAACAAATTCCGAAAAATTTTTTAAATGACCATGCAAAAATTTTTACTGTGAAGATGTAGAAGTGTTGCTCATTTAGGGAATATATATACATACAGAAAGCGCCAAATTCTAACCCCTAAAGCGATTTTCGGCCGGGCTCTTCTTTTAAATTCTGGTATGTTTCTTGACGTTTTCCAGGGAGGGACTTAGTTTATTAAATCCACCGGCCAAAAGATTTTTGTGAGGAGCTTTTATTTTATGTCATTCTCTGCCGATGGACGACCACATTTCTGTATGTATTTTGCATCTTAGTCAAACCAGGACTCCAATCCTGGCCTTCCGAATATTAGTGCACAATGCTAACCCGTCGGCTTTAGCGGCCACCATAAAAAAGGGATTAGTTTCAACTTTATTTCAGTAGTAATGCTCACCTGATGTATTGCTTCGCCCATGCCTTTCGTCAAACCATTCTCCTGTGTGTTTAACAAAGTTTTAACAACATCCAGTGGTGTTGTGAAGGCAGCAGCAGTAGCACCAGCAGCACCACCGGCAACCATATGAACGACAGGATTATATCTTCGCTCGTGATTCAACTATAATAATGAAATTTAATAAACACTGGCTTACTTTATTATAGAGTTATTTGGCATACCATATTTTGGAAAAATTCATATGTAGCAAAATGTATTGTCTGATATGGTATATTCATCACTAGCTGTGTGGAGTACGATCTGTAGAATGCTTTAATGCCCTCATTACGATAGACATCCTTCATACAGCCAATAACTGAATTGTACTTGGAGTTGTACATTTGCATGCGTTGTTTTATCACATCCGTTGGATTCGATACGGCATCGTGTATGAGTGTCGCAACAGCACCGGAGGCCACTAAAGGTACGGAGCGAAATATTGATTATTATATACAAAAAAAAAATTAATTATTTTTGGTTACGCACTATAATTGACATGATTGTTGGTAGTGACCCTAGTCAGAAGTTCTTTTGCCATTTCGTAGGAACCAAAATACAGAGCATGTGCAGGTCCAGCGCCAGCAACTACAGCAGAGACACCACGAATGGGTCTATGGTAGGCAGGCCATCATCAATTGTTATGAAATTAAAATAAAATAAATTGCCAAATTTTAATCAGTATTGTGTTGTATATTAGATATGTGTACATATGTATGTGTGCATATAGGAAATAACATAAAATTTGGTAATTAAACTCACCTCATAATACCCTCTTTTTTGATCATATTCTTAAAGGTTGTGCTGATGTCATAATTGGAAGTGACTGGCGATAAACTTTGCATTCTTGTCTGAAAATACACAGCAGAGTAGATAATGCCTTTGTAGAAAAATATTTATTGAAAGAGGTTATACATATGTACGCATGTTTTAAAGAGAAATAATCAGTAAGGGAAAATTTATATAATTTTTTGGTATTTTTGACTTTGATTATATATAAATATGGAAATGTTGCGTACTTAGTACTCATACCCCTGCAGGGCATATACATATGTATATACTACGTAAGTTGTGGATACTTAACGACTACGTACCACCCCGAGTTTTAATGGACTAAAGAGAGCGCAAACATATCGATTGTTCAACGAAAAATTATTCAGCGTAACTTTCGGAAATTTAATTCAAATAATTTGTACTTTTACTAAACGTAAAATGTATGTGTATATGTAGTAAGTATATGTATGTAGGTGAATAATTTATTTATTTAAACTTTCTTTATTTAAGAAAAAAAATTGTATTGTATTAATACAACAATTTATCAAGTGCTGGTGATAACAATTGCAGTACCTCTCATAGTCATTGCAAAATATTTGTCCCAACCTATAAAGCGAAGAGGTAAGTTCTCTACATCAAATACCACCCACTTCATCTCTATTTACCGCAGAAGCAAAATGTCGAGTATAGTAATCTGCCGCTCTACCTACATACATATACATAATATAATATTATAGATACAAATAGGCATACATATATGTACATATGTATGTACTTAGTTTATATGACAATATATCCACATTGGATTATACGAGAAGTGCCAGCGATAAAAATGTCGTGTGCTCGTTGGAGTAGACAATTGATTTAATATAGCAACGGGCGTTCACAGCGTCTGTCATTCCTAGAACACCTTATTTTTCATTTTATTTAACATGCAATTATATATTTATATAAATTGCTTATAACAATTGATATAACTATATATGGAGTACACATATACGATGTAAATATGTTTATAGTTATTTCAATCTGACGGTAGTTTTTTAAAACACTTATCTAACACTGAAATCTTAAACGACACTTGCAAGGTTTCTCAGAATAAAAATTGCGCCTATGAATCGTTACACAAGAGGATGGGAATATTATATCAAAATCGGAGGGCGGGGGGGTTGAGTGAAAATTGTGCTGGAAATTGTAGCTATTTTGTTTTCGAAACCACAATAAAATGATAAATCGGTTTTAGATAAAATATAATATTCATGCATGCATACATATTGTACGTATATGTACATATGTACAATATATTGAGTTTTGAAAAACTTTTGTAAATAAAAATTATTAGCTTACAGCACACATTTACTAAATATAAATAAATAGAGAAATTATTTTTAAGTACCTTTTAATTGATATAATTATAAATTTTAGCCCACATGCAAAAAGATACACACACACGCATCCCATACAACAATTAAAAGGTACAACAATTCATGTAAGGTAATTTCTAACTGAACTTCACACTTTTGTGTGAGCTTGTGAATTTTGGAGAATGCTTATTAGCTACAAAAAAAAGTGCTATAATGACCGCTGGAAAAAAAATCAAATAGCATAAAAGCACCATATACAACTGTAGTGTTGTAGTTGGTTTTTGTTTCGTAAAAAAATGTGTATTGTTGGAATATCTAAGAAAATACTATAACATATACATATCTATGTATGAATGTATGCAGATGATGTATGTATATATGTATGCAGATGTATGTACCAACAACAATAGGACTTCCCTACCCATACCGACAGCAAGACAAGATCGCGAAAAAATATAATTGCAGACACTAAAAATATCGTATAAAAACAACTACAATTGACTTAAGAGAGAGAAAACAAATCACGACAAAATATTGCGTGTACTATTTATTATTATAGGATGTGATGACGTAAGGAAATCAATATCACGCAGGCACAGACTAATAAAACTATTGACATTTAGATAAACATAAAATCATAATAGTTTTAAGGAGTTTTTCATGCAAAATAATATTAAAAACATTTTATAAGAAATATACATACATACATATAAACACCATCCGATTACCTTCGCATATTTAAACAAATTGCCCAGAAATCGTATAAATCGGGTGAAAACTTCGGCATTTGGACGACCACTAAGCTTCCACACTTTCATATGTACAAACATAAGCATTATACAATAGATACAAATGTACATACAGACAGACATATGTATTTCGGTATGTATGTAGATATGCCTACAAGCACAATCGTTTTAAATCAACTGCATATTAAGTCCATTCATAACTATTCACACAACATGACCCTACATACTCGTATATACATACATATACATTTATAATATAAAAAATAATCTGAATATCAGTATGTCTAAAATATGATATTTATATAAATGTATATATGTACATACAATTGTGCATATGCACTTGTTAATGCAAATTACATGCAAAAACAAAAAAAAAATAATAAAAAAATAAGAAAAACTAAAAGATAATTACTAGGCATCAAGACATGCCAGTTAAAAAAAAATTGTCAGTGCGCACTTTATTACCTCTGTAAATAAAACACCAATAAAAATAATAATAACAACAACAACAACAACATGCACTCGTTCAATTACAATCGCGGAAAGTCAAGACACACTATACATACATAAATACAGTGTAGGTATCTACAATAACATCAACAACAATAACAGTGTGGGTTCATATATGTACATATGTAAGTATCTACGAGTAAATGCATACTTTTGTATTCACATACATCTACATACATATGTACTTACATACTACATATGTATGTATATGTATACGCGTAATGTGGATTTTATGTATTGGAGCAGAAGCAACGATAAATTGTGATTAAACAAACACTTCACAAATTGTTGTTCATTTTTTCTATATTTTGCACAATTATAGCGTTGATAAAAAGCTATGTATGTATGTATGTATGTATGTACACATTTACTTTTTATATGAGTTGTTGCTGGTCCAGCTTTAAGTGGAGGCGGCATAGTTGTTGATGATGATGATGATGCTATGCTGATAATTCATTCGAGTTGTGACAATAATTTAAAATAATTACAAATAATAAGACTTACCTTATTATTTGAAAATTTACTTTTTTTTTACTGAGGATTCACAATTTACTGTATTACTCAGTTTTTGCTTTTTTTGTCTCATAAATAAAGTCCTTACATGTACATACATATGTGCAACGGGGAAACCCATTACTAGACGATATTTGCCTCTCTAAACGTTAATATTCCATTTCAATTTTGCACTTGAATATGCAAAAATGTTTTTTCTGCAAATGATGCATGACCATGTTCTTGGTAAACCCCCAATTAATTGAGAAAGGAAACACGTACTATTGTAAAATCTTAGTAATTTAACTTTGATATTTTACAAATGCACAAATTATGTGCAATATGTTCATGTATATACATATACATATGTATATATGTATGAAGGATTTAGAATGCATATTTTAGCAATTTGGTATGGAAATTGCTTCTTTGTTTTCAATCCAAATTATCAGACCAATACACTATTCTTATTAAAAAGTAAATATCATTTTACTGAGAATATGAAACTGAAAGTATTAAGAAAATTTGTATCATGGTTCTAAGCAAAGAACGTATACAGATTTTTTTTTTAAATCTTTATTACAATATACATACATATATAGAAATAATCTGGTCTATAAGAGTTTATCTGGTGCGTGGTTTAACAGTACATTTTTCTCACCATAATTGCTTATCATTTTCTGTTTTCCCCCGATGGATTTATTACTTACTTTTCTATACTAATTACCAAAGCTCGAAAAAGAATTCAATATCGTAAATGATGACAATACTATAGAAAAGAAATTCTGCGAATGGTATTTCCAAGTCAACTACTAACAAAAATCAATAATTAGTCGGAAAGTAAGCAAACAACAACATGCTACAAAGGATAGGTAAACGAAAATAAAAAATCTTTTTAATTTTAAAAATTGGTGAAAATTTTTAATTTTGTTTGTAAATAGTACCCGGGGAATATGGCGGAAATGGCCGGCGTCTATTTTTTATATTAGCGTTTAGCTGATTTAAAAATTGATTTATTGTTTTCTGCAAAGAACTTTGTTTTTTGTACGAAATAAGTCTATCTGTACAAAATATGTATGTAGGTTTGTTATCTAAATGAAAAGAGACAATATGTTAAGTACATATTTATGTGGGAAATGCTGCCTTAAGATCTAACTATTATCTTATCGAGCAGCAATTCTCAGTCAGGTACGCTCAACAGGCAAATACACTAGTAGCCGATAAGCCAAGTGTACTTCAGACTCGAAATAAGTTGACTAAAATTAAATCACGAACATCTTATCTTTAAACACGTCAGTATCCATCTACATAAAAAGATTAATTTCAGGTAAATTAATGTCAAACTATTGGTGTAGAAGCCGACATTAAATAGGCCAGTAGTGTGGACAATATTTCTTCATAACCGATATTAATGTAAAATTATCATAAATCAATATACTGTATATTTCCCGAAATCACCTTGTCATCATTACTTTGATGAAATTCAACTGAAATACATAATGATCGGTTTATCTATTGTTTGTAGTTATAAACACGTTTCTAAATATTTTTAAAACTGATAAAAGAAATATGTATATGCGTGATATGACTATGCCATCATAGAACCACGATAGCAGGGTCTTTATACAATCGATTTTTATCTGGAAAATACTTTGATGCTACGATATCAAGAAACAAACCAACCAATAAGGGCAAGGTGGTGTCTCCAGATTCCGCTCTGAAAACGGTACATTCAGGAAAACCTTCTGCTATGGGTTATTTACTTATTATCCCAGTAACAATAGATAGCAATACGACTGTATGCTGTCATGCAGAGTAATTAAAAATTAATGCAATTCATGACAAATTAGCGTATTTAAATTTAGCGACAGTTACATAAATATATACTATTTTACGCTTATCTAACTTTTTTAATAGTCGATCTGGATCTCACCCCGAATTACCTCAGTGGCACCTGCTCCCAAAAACCTTAGCAGACAGCAAACAAACGCCGTCACATTAGTATACAATACAATATGTATGAGACCAATTTTTTTTATACATAACAAAAATCGAGCACGCATTCATTACCAATAATAAATAGACATTCCCATCTAAGTTCTGGCATGCCATGCCGAAATTGAGCGGAAAAATCGACCAAAAAAACTAAACAAGATACGTATTTGTATAGGAAGAAAAACAACAATAAAGCAGCTAGTAAAGAGGAAAGAATTACATCACGACGCCAAATTGTGAGGTTAGGTACAACGTTGCTAACAGCTGAGTGGCCAACCATTTCGGCCCCTGGCCGTAACAAAAATCTTTACTCAAATCGATTAGATTCATATTGACATTAATTCTTATTTGAATATTTCCAATTGAATGGTATAAATTAAAAACTCACCTTAACCGAATCCAATGGATACATAACACAATGCTCCAATACGCCAGCAATCGCTCCGGCTGTCATATTAATGCTCACACTGGTTGTAGGTAATGATTCGTAGTCATCCATATTCATAGCGGTCGTGGTTGTGGCTGTAGCAAATGTAGTAGTATATCGCCCAAAAGGTATTAAATCAAATGCAGTTCACTGCAACAGTAGAAAAACTTAGTAATAATTTGCTTTAAATCACGCTGTATTAAGCAATTATACATCTATGCGAAGTGTGAGCCGTAAACAAATTGACTACAACAATGAACAGTAAAAAAGGCAAAATTTGCCACCAGTAAATGGCTATTACTGATCCCAAACGCTGCTGTCCGATTTCTGCGCGTCACTTACAGCTCGCAATTTGTTTTCACTCTTTACCGAATGTTGAATGTCGATACTGATACTCGCCAAGAGTACACCACTGACTACCTTGTCCGCTCCGCTCTTCCAATTGTCAACGACGTTGTATGGTGCAGTTGTCACTTATTCTATTTGCTGCTTATTTCTCGATTTTCTAACCGCTGATACAATGTTTCTTTTGCTTTGGCGGTTAGTTTCCTCCACGTTTTCCACTTTCTTACTTTCCACGCTATCGACAACTTGCTTTTTCTATAATTGATAACAGCTTTGTAAATTAATGCACAAAAACAACAAATGAGCAAATCAATTTTGCCGCACATTAATTAATTCTAACCATTTTGGGTTTGGACATGTTTACAAATATGCTAGTTTACCTGATCGTATGACCTGAATTCCACAAGTCTTTTTAATTCGCAAGTAAAAAGATTTCGTAGCGTAAATATATAATAAAAGCGGTGTAGCAATGAAAAAGTTTGTAGTTATTTTTGTAGCTCAAGTAATTGCTGCAATTGGTTTTTATTCAGCAGCGCACTTATCCGTTGCGATATTATACACATGCACGCCCAACTTGAATTTGCACTTGGAAAGGCGAAATACCTCGCTTTTCTTTCCTTAATCTTTTTAAATTTCTCTTCACTAGAATTTTTCGTAAATTTTTAAAAGAGAAATGTCAAAACAGTCAAATGAATCGGGCTGCCACTCTATTTTTCTCGTGTTTTCTTTGATATGACAAATAGATGTCGCCAGCGTTAATATAATAACATGTAAAAAAATTTTCAATTCCTTTTACAAATTAACTTATTGCCTTAGGACTTCATAACCTACTCATCTATTTATATATGTATATATATCTATATACAGGACGCTTAGAAGAAAAGAACTGATTACTGTACCAAGATCCACATATTTTTATTTCTATCATAAGCGCTTATATTAAACAATTTTCCAATAAGAAGTAACAATTGGGGAGGTCCTCTCCGAGCGGCTCGATACAAAACGAGGTTTAAACCTGAAAGACGAGTGCACAATTGCTAGCGTATTGGTCTTAACGACCGCGCCGTTAGCTCTACTTACTTCAGGCGAATGGTTCTGGTAGGGAACGAGGATCAGACGAAATATCTCCTAAAATGAAACAAACAGTCAGTGCATTCGCGACTCGGCTCACATGTCACTGTTGCCAGTCATAACTTTGAAGTCGTAGATAATTTCGTCTATCTAGGAACCAGCATGAACAGCAATAATAAAACAGACTCGTTATTGCTAACATATATTACGTTGGATTGGCGAGCCCAATATAAGCTCTACAAGTTTCTCATTATTCCCGTTCTTCTATATGGTCCCTAGACGGAGATAAAATCCAATTAGTCGGCTATAGAAGTTTTCGAGAGAAAACTTTTGCGGAAAATTTATATACCTTTTCGAGTTTAGCTGTATATGTTATACGGCGACATTGACATAATTCAGCTTTATCGCTGCCCAGCTCATGCCGTCCGAATAGATAAAATCACTTTTGCTTTGGAAGTGAATCGGGTGAAGAGCGACCTGGTTTCACTTGCATTTCTAACTGACGTCGAACAGCGAGGAGATGGAACGAATTTTGGGTTATTGTTGATTCGGCTACAACCGCGTAAGCGGTGCTCCAAACGCTGCTAGGTAGGGGTTTTCGTGACACTCGAGTCCTTACACTGGAGTGAAGCGGATTTTTATTCAGCCAAGGACTGTCACTCCCGCAACATTCCTAAAAAAAATTTGCGGAATATTCTTGCGGATACTACAACAACTATATTAATTAATTATAATTATTTCAGGAGCTCGTTTTTTCCTTTACGAAAATGCTCCTTTGTGGGCTCCATATTAAAATTGACGCCAAACAAACAAATGTAAACAAAATTTCGCGCACTTTTTTTCTAAAGCAAGATAAATGTAACAGCTGATAACTGACAGAAGAAAGCAAGCCGTTGAAAAAAATTGTCAACGCCGACTATATGAAAAATCCGCAATTACTTTTTGGGCAACCCAATATTAATGGAATTATTAGCAGCCTTGATTAGGGTTTCGACTTTCTGAAAACTCTCTTTTGCTTACAACGCACTAGAATCAATTTATTCTTAATTATACATACATAAATATTTAACTAACTAATTTATGCTTAAGACTAAATTGACTCGATAAATTAATTGAAAAAATTCATAACTTGAAATTGCTTTCATTCAAAAATAGTCTTTATTTATTTTATGTACTAACATACATACATACATAAATATATATATATACATACAAACATATGTTCTTTTATTAAGAACTTTCTTCCTCAATACATTTGTACATATATGTACTAAGAAACGAAGTAAACAGTTTAAATTAGCATTAAGTAAATTGTCATTAAGCATGAATATTTCCTAAATGAGGTATTTCTTTACAATCCTTCAAAGCTCTCACTGTTGGCTCTAGGGAAGCTATGCAATGTTAAGTTACTTAAATGCCAAATTAATCCTCAAGAGAAGGATTTTTGGAAGTTACATGCAAAGTATATAAAATTATTAAGTAATATACATACATATGCATGTATATACTTGCCAATAATTTAATGAGATATGTAATTTTATACATATACACATACATACATATATAAATCCATGATGGTTTTTTAAAACATACATATGCAAGCTAAATGCCACTTTTTCTTAAAAAAAAATAACGTTCACTACAATAAGCTCTTATAAGAAACTAACGGGAATACATTATTGTCCATTAAAAAATGCATAGTGTCTTAACGAAAACACAAGCGTTATACGCAATAAAAACTGTCTTTCAAATGTATTTATAAGCCTTTGTTAAACCAGACTTCTGTAAGCTCGGGATTATGTTTATTAATCTTTTCCTTCACATCAGGCTCCAAACGTTCCACCTGCAAGTAAATAAATGGAAGAAAATTTAATTACCATTTGATTTCTATAAAATACATGATTAGTTTTTTTTTGCACATACCCCAATAGCGGCGCGTTGGCTAAAGAATGCACAACCCAATGGAGTGGCAAAGATCAAAACGAAACCACAGAAGAGCGTTTGAATAGGTGCGCTGGCTTTGGGGAAGCGTTTGAGTAAGCCACGCTTTTCCAATGACTGAATTAGTAGAGGTGTTAGGACTACGAATTGAGTGAAATTCATATTATTATAAGAAATTTTTCAAAATTTTTGCAATTCCTCGCTTACCCATGCCAGGTGCAGCCATGGCTATGCGACTAGCCACGACAGCTGTAATGCCCACAGCGGCTGCTTTCTTCGAAACGCCCAATTCATTGTTCTTTTCGTCCAGCAAAGTGACACCATTTTTCAATTCCCTGTAGTAATTTGTTTAGAAAAGTTATAAATTACTTATACATTGCATAAAAATATGTCTGAATGTGCGTTAAGTGCGGCAAATCACTTACTGCATTCTCATCATTGGTACATTAATGCAATTAGCTGCGGCTACAGCGGCCAGTGGCACCAGACGTCCAATTAGTGGGTTCAAGTTCTAAAAAAAAATAATAATAATAACAAGAGTTTGGACAAAAGAAATTTTAGTTGAAATAATAAGTTTTTAGGTTAGGAATATATCTTCTTCGAATAAATTTTGTGGAAAAGCTACTATTAATAAAAAAAAATATAACTCAATATTTTTATATTTACATAAAAATATTTTTCGAGTTCCTACTGATCTTAATTCTAAATTGTCTTAGATAGCGCAATCGCACCCAAAAATACTCAATCCAGCCGACGAGACTCGCTTAGATTTTTTTAACCCCGAAGCGAATAGAGGAAGGCATGTACCTATGTGGATAAATCTCATCCTCCATAGGCTCTATGGATAAAGAGTTCAATAATTTACACGTCTGTCGTAAGAGTTCCCAATTGATAGCAACATATTCATAACGGAACGACACAGACTTTTATTCGGCTAAGGACTGTCAGATACGCAACATTCCCGAAAGTATATTTAAGTCTTGTTTTGCGGTTACAACGATTGAATTTTAAGAAAAACTCGGTAGGAAATCAGAGCTCTAAGTCGGTAAAAAATTGGCCAGTTATAAAACGTCAAAATTGCGCTCTCTCGTTATTAATTTTAGAGGCTTTTTGCCGTAGCGAACGCCGGTCAGTAAAATTCAGTAACAAATTTACTTGCCGGAGATATTTAAAGGTAAAGTCAATAATCTGATCGTTTTTATTCTCTGTTTTGTATACCATTACTGTATAATCTCATTCAGTCCCTATAGTGTACTACTCTCTTGCCTCCGCTACTCACCTTCACTAGTCTGTTAAGAGAGAGTGCTGTGGTCAACGCGCCACCAGTGGCCAAAACATATGAAGTAAGCAATTGCCTGCAAAGATAAGAGAGAACACACACGATAAGTTATTATAAATTATACACCTTTTTTCATCATAAGAAAATGTACAGACTACATGTGTGTGGCTTAAGTAAGATAAAATATGTACATATGTAAATGCGTAAACATTGTTTATTGTTTATAATTTCACAGGAAAAGTACATAATAAAAGAAGACGAAAATAACAAAATAATTTAAATTTGTTGCAAAATTAAATTCTTCTCATGCAAACCATATATGAGTATGTATGTACATACATACATATGTATGAATGTATGTTAATATTATATATACAGCTGTATGTAGCCATATATATACGCATGCACTTACTCTTTGGAGATCGGTGTTGATCCCGAACGATTTGTATAGTTGACGACAGCATTGAATGTTTGATTGACCCATTGCCAGAAGACGACGGCTGGTGTAGTCTTGTAGAACGATAACATGCCTAAAAAAAGAAAAAAAAAGCAGCAACAACAATTATATATAAAAACAAATTTGCAAATAGCATACGATTGCTTGGATATTGGTATCTATAGATCACTCAAAATGCGCATAATTTGTTTTGCTTACAAAAAAAAAAATATATTGTTTTTTAACCCAGTGCAAAATTTTAGTATTAACCAGAAAATTAAATTACCTACATACATATATAGATATGTAGGTACATATAAGGTCTTATACATACTCGAGTATGTCAGATCGTTATAAATCATATGAATATAAATAGAAAATGTATAAGAAAGGCAACAGTCGTCATTTTTGGCAAAACGAAAACAATCAAAGATAAATATATATTTTTTGTATTTATCTGAAATTAATTAATTTTATTATTATTTTATTTTGATGTTCAAGTGTTCAAGATTTAAAGGTTCATCTCCATAAACACTGTTTATCGCGTAGTCTCACACAAAATAGTTCGTGAGATTACGCGACCGTGAAATTTCTCTCGGAATAAAGCCATAATCGCTCGTTAAGTGTGGCATGTGGCACCATCTTGTTGAAACAGCATATTTTCCGGGGCGTGTTCTTCAATTGAAGGTCAAAAATAGTCTGTCGAGTGGTTAGCATTACGTTCTGCAATCGGAAGGCCATAGTTTGAATTCTGGTCTCACAAACATTCAAAAATTATAGGAAATTTATTTCTAAAAAAATTACATTAAATTTTCTAACTGGGGTCACTCATTCGGCAAGGAATGTCAACACCTCCGAGTGTATTTATAACATGAAATAAAGGCTCCTCATAAGAAAACTATCAGCCGTTCGGAGGTGGTTCCATAATTTGATGAATCTCGGAGCCACAAATGCGACATGTTAACTTATTTATGTATGCATTCCCCAAGTGAAGAATTTGTCTCGTCTCTGAAGAAAACTTTGTTAAAAAAATCACCGCTTACTGGTTGTTGTTCAAGCAGCCAATCGACATACATATGTACGGTTTTGTGAATGGTCAGTCGGCTTAAGTTGTTGTATGCGCTGAACTTTTTAAGGATATAAGTCCAAGTGTGAAACACGAAATCATGTGCCATAAGAGAGTCCCAGCTCTTGAAAACGTCGAGAAAAAGGCACATTCGGTACAGTAGTGATATTTGAGGTGGAATGAGCAAAACCATGATGCTAAGGCCGTACAATATCTCTAAGCGATCCAATCTCTAGAAATTTTTTTTAAAAATTACCAATTACTTGATTAGCTATACGATAATGTGTATCATCATCTCATCTTAACACACACCGTTTGGATCACTCTTTTTGTCGTAGGTTTAAACAAAGTTTCACCCGTTGTGCGCCTGCTGGGCAACCTATTTTCATAAATGTCTGTCATTTAATTTAAAAAAAAAAACGTTAGGTTTGACAGATGTCGAAATACAGCCCTGTGATCTTAAACCACGAAATGGATAATCCTGTATTATATTTTGTTCACAAATTCGGTTGATTAGAAGTAAGAAGAACGTGAATTGTTAATTTAATTCTTTAATTTAGGTATGATTTTTCACTATCTATGTATATATGTATATATATATTTAGCTGTTTTGTGTAACTAGTTTCATGTTTCCCTTATTTCTTGGAGTTTGAACAACATAATATAAATTTATACATATGTACAGTTAAAATTAATTATAATATTCTTACATACATATGTATCTATGTGTTACTATAGGATGTGCTCGCAATTAATTGTGCAATGCAACTATTGTTTTCTACTGCTTCATTGGCTTACAAATTAAGGCAATATTTAACATATACATACATACATACATAATCAAAATGTTTCTTAAACGGTTCGTTAAAACTGAAAAACAAATAAATACATACATACATATAGAATAGTTGGAGAAAAATATGATTTCAGAAGCTAGTAGAATAATTGCAGAACTTTTTCTCAGCAATTTCTTTTCAGCAAACAATTTGAAATATAAAAAAACATTTCATTTCAAGAAGTGTTGTAGAAATAACAAGTTAAAAAAAATTATTATAATAAAAATTAAAAGAATTTTCACGGCTCGTGTTATACATACATCCGTACATAAGTCATAAATTTTTTACAGTTATCGTAAACAGGCGGAATTATAACAAAATATTACCTCACATAAAGTATTTTAAATAATTTATTATTGCTAAATATAAATGCTTTTAATTAAATATATTTATTTATTTATATATTCAATAGACAGAATCGAAAAAAAAACACTTTTATAACTATTTATAGAATTATACGCTTGAGCGTTATAAAATGCTCTTATCAGTTTTATACCAAAGACAATTCAAATTAAAAATGCGCCTTGACGACACATTTATTGACAACTAACATTTATTTAAGTGCAAATATTAAATAGAAAACAGTAATATAAAAATATACATATGTACAAATATATTTACTTACATCCTGTAATCAAAGTGTTCATGGGCACTTGCGCGGACATGCGTCCAATGATTAGCGATTTTTCTCCCGTGTCTGGATGGAATGCTGAGTCGTACAAGTATTTGGCTCGCCACAACTCCTCAACACTGCTACACTCCTGAACCGGTTTACCGGCACGATAATTGTTTACTATACGTCTAGCACGTTCCAACTCCTCATTGCTCGCTAAGAGATTCAATGGGTTGGTGAGTAGGAAGAAATGCTTGGCACGATTGATGTATGTGCTCTGGTCATATTTCGGTTGATCGATATCGATGGTTGGCAGTACGGCAACGGCGTCAGTGGATGACATTATTGAATTTATGTAGATTTAGATATTTTGTATGAATGGAGCTTGTGCGATGATGGCAGTGATGTTCCCAAATAAAACTGGAATATACAATTTCTGAAATATTTATTAATAATTTTTACAAATTATTAAAATAAAATAAAAAAAGTAACATCAAAACTGACCAAGATATAATATAAAAAAACTAAGAAAGTAAAACATAACAAGCATCAAGCAATACTAACTCTCGAAACAACGCCCCGAATGGAACCTAACCAATAATTGGTACAAAAACATAAATCAGGGAAAGGCTCATCTACTGGACTTCTTATACAAATATAAAAAAAATCCTTCCCGACTTGATGTTATAAAATTTGAGCTAGACTAGGGCACACCAAACTAACACATGGGTATCCTTTAAACAACTCAACCCCCCATGTAGTGTACTTGCAGCGCAAATATCATAGCCACAGTTAATCATCTTCTACTGCGCTGCCCACCATATACCATCAATAGAGAACGAATTTTTACCAACACATACCCAATTTCTTACCGCTCAGTTCCCTTAGTCGAGTCAATCCTCTTAATAACCTATTTTATCGAAAGAACAAATATTTTTCATAAGATTTAAACAAAAGGAATCTACACTTAATATATAAATATGATAAGTAAATATGTATATGTATATGTCTATAGCTCTATCTATAGCTACCAAACAAAGAGCTTATAAGATTTATGTTTAAAGTTATATTTTATATAAATAAAAAATAAATAATTTTAAAATAAAATAAAAAAGGAATTTATTAAAAAATAATTAAAAAAAAATTAAAATAACAAATAAAAACACATAAAATAAGAAATATGAGATAAAATAAAATTAAATGAGACAAAATTTAAAAAAAATATATTAAAATAAAACAAAACAAATTATACTTAATTAAAATAGTAAGACAAAACAATGTAGAGATAAAATGAAAAAAGAATGAAGAAAAAACAAAAATAAAATGTAATAAAATAAAATTAAATTCTACTTAATTCATTCTTAATTTAATTTAATTTAAAAATTTTTTTCTTTTATTTTAATTTTTTTATTTTGTTTTACTTATTTTATATTGTTTTATTTGATGTAGTTTAATTTTATTTTATTTCATTTAATTATTATTTATTTCTTTGATCTTATTTTACTTTATCTCTATATTGTTTTGCCTTACATTTTTTAGTTTTCATTTATTATTTTTTTTTACTTATTTTAAATAGTTGAATTCATTTCAATTTTATTTTATTTTTTCTGAAATAAAATTAAAACAAATATTTAAGATAAAATAAAAAAAGATAGAAGAAAATTTAAAAAAAAAATTATAATAAAATTAAATGAAACAAAAAAAGAAATGCTGTCTTCGGTCATGGCGAATGCTTTATACCCTTCATTTATTGCAAATTTTAATAATTTCCAGTGGTCACAAATTTAATTTTTTATTTTTAAATTTTTTGGAATACCAAATTTCACGGTAATGGTCCTATTTGGCCGATCTGTGTATCAAATTTGGTTGATATATATCAAAAACTGAGGGACTATTTTGCGCACAAACTGACGGACAGACGGTTCATTATTATGATCATATCGGTTTAAATATTAATGAATCTATCTCTCCCCTTCTGCTACTTTCATGTGCATGAAAGTTATAAGAAAGCAAAATAAATCAAATTAAAATAAAATAAAATTAATTTATAAATATATTAAATATATAGTAAACATTGTTTTTATGGTTCCGGAGAAGGCTTATATGAGAAATAATTTTCGGAAAGTAGACCAAGAAGCGATTTATTTGAAAAAAATCGTATTTACGGTTCGATTACTCGAAATTGCTTTTTCACGGGTAGTGGATCGTTTTTTTCTGTTTAATATACATATTCATGGTTTGTTATAGTTAAAATTTTGGATGATGTGCCCAAATTGAATACTATTGTTTCAGAGAAATGGACCAGAGGCCTGGAACAAAGTTCAATTTGTTCGAAATATAATTATCTCTTTCTCTACGGTGAGGAGTTCAACTCGAGTGTGAACAAACCTAGATTCGAATAGTGTGTTTGGCTTACTTCGAGGCTTTCATATTGACGTTTTCGTGAAAGATGTGACTAACACATACAAATAAGAAGATTGATCCATCTTTATGTATATATACATATATAAATCATAAGTTCGTTTCTAGAAATCTGATAATCTCCCAAAAGTAAATGGGCAACTGAGCTATGCCTTCCTAAAACACTCAAGATTTCAGCCATATGTATGTATAAATCCTGCAATTTACCGCCAATATGCGTGTCAACGTGCAAAATGATCCATCGGCAGATGTATTTTCACGCCTGTTACTGTAAATGGGAAACTGCGAAATGAGAATTGGGCGGACTTCCGAACGCATTGCCCGATAAGTTCTGTAATTTAGTAATGTCAAAGGAAGAATCCATTTCTGGAGTTTCTCCAAATATCCCAATCCATTACAGGGACCATACGTGGCTAAGTGAACGAGATATCCTGTCAGCAAAAAAATATGATGTCAAAATTTTGTCCGGACCGGTGAAGACGTCCTCATTTCTCGAATACCTCGTATACCCCCTTTCAATTGAAGTGACAGTTCCCTATTCGACTATTCCACTATCAACAAAGCTCAGGGGCAATCTGTGGAATTTTGTTATTTACACATATGAATTGTTACGTAGATGAACAATTGGATGAAAAAATGAAATTGAATGTCTAAAAAAAATTAAATTAAATAAAATAAAAGTAAATAAAATTTAAAAAAATAATATAATATTTAAAAATAATTTAATAAAAAAAATAAAATAATATAAAAAACAAGCAAAATAAATAAAAACTAACTAAATAATTGAAATAGATAAATAATATTAAATAAAATAGAATAAGATTAAATTATTTAAATTTGAATGTAGTTTAAAATAATAATTATTATTCATACATATATATGGTCTAAATATAAATGGAATGTAGTGTGTGTGAGCGAAGTCGGTTGAAATCCATTTTTTCAACTGCTGAAAGAGAGTTAAAATTGTTCTCTGTTGTTTGTGTATATGAATTTTTACATGTATTCACGCACACAAAAAAGTATGTAGCATAGGCACACTCCCCACCATATCCATAGGACGCTTTGTTACAATGCTGTATTGGTACACAAATACTGCCGGATTAGAGAAGGCAACAGTATGCGAAAATGCTCCTTTACAGAAACGTTGAAGAAATAATGTCGACAAATTCTTGTTTCATGCACAAATCTGGTTCCAAAAAATTGTAATAATTTTTTTTTATCTATTTCCTATGCATGATCGGGTGTTAGGTAAGTTTTAATAAATTAGGAGGTGTACCAAAGAGTAAGAAAACATTGGCCATCGAATTTCTTTTGAATGATCCCTTCTTCGGAGCATATAAATATGAGGATGACATTACCAATGATGACTAGATACGAAACTATTTATTCCGTTAGTGCGCTGAAAAATCAGCATTTTTCACATTTCTGAACTGTGCCAATGTGATAGAAAAACGACGTCTTTAATGGCAATTTCACTAAAATATTTCATTGAGAAACAATTCAATATTTAATTATATTAAGTTTTAATAATAAAATTACAATAATTTCTTTAATATTTACTGCTGGAGCAAATTTTTTTTTCAAACAAAAACAATGGATTTTTTTTTATTTTGGCATAGTGGCACTGGTGAAAGTTCCCCGATCTGACACTGCTGCCAACATTAGAATGTGAGATGGGGGAACGCTCTGAGTGATTTGGAGTAAGTTTCGTTTGTAGTCATCTTTGACATTACTATACTACCTGACAATTAATAATATTTATTTCACGCCCCCTCTAAACGAGAGCTAATTTGTAACTAGTTCTGGGTGCATACATACATACAATACGAGGCGATTAAAACATTGCAATATTTGCAAGATAACTCATGCAGATGACGAGAAGTGTAGGAGATATGCTCTGCTCTTACATACATATGTACATATATAAGGACATATGCACATATTTATACGCACATGCATATAAAAAATTTTTAACAATTTAATATATATTTTATTGTTTTATCAGCTGTTTTCGATAAAACATTACCCTATTCAATAACACAATAATAATACACGGTTAATAACCGGTTTATGCATATGTGTGTATGTATTGTACGTATTCACTTAAGCATTCCATTGAATAAGAATTATATCGATTAGCAGAAGCGGCCGGGTTTTAAGTGGGCTCTTATCATATACAGAACACGATGCAAAAAGGCATAGATATGTATGTACATACATACTTTTATGTAGTCATATGTATATATATATATATATACGTGCGAAATTATATATAAGTTTGTATGTTCATATGTATGCATGTGTGTATGTAATCAGATCAGCTGTATGTCGGCAAGCGTCTAGTGGGCGCGGATTTTGTTAACAAAGCCATCAATATAATGAAGAGGCTTGTGGGAGGAAAACACAAAGCCAGTTACATATAGAAATGAGTATGAGCTTACTCATTTATATGCAATATATACATAATGTGCATATTCTTTTACAATTTTGAGCACTAGAAAGCGTAATAATCACTTTTTCCATCGACCTTTTGTGCCTTTTTGTTGGCTTATCGATAAAGAATCTTACATAACAGCGAGGCCACAAAAATTAAAATAAAAAATCATAATATAGACATTTTGATAGGTAGAACATACATACATATATACATATATGTATATATTTATATAAATATATGTAAGTCTTATTCTTTTTTGGCTCGTATTCACGTTAATATTACTTTTTGGTTAAGAATAAACAAATCTCCTGCTTACAGAACAAACAAACGCCGCTCTTGGATAATTTCTTTATGTTAAATTTTTTCTCGCGCGATAAAATTTATTGTTTTCTGATTAATAATTTTATTTCGTTTTTTTTTTTTTGTTGCTACCCACACTGCCACTTGCTGGCGCTTCAATATGCTCACACACAAATTTTGAAAAATTAGTTCAATTCACGCTCCAAAATAGATTTCCAACTGTTACCGTCGGAAGCGTACGGAAAACTGACAGCTGAGCGATAACCAGTCTTAACGCAAACGCAACAATTCCATACTTTATATTTTTTTTGTATTTGCTGCTATGAAACAATTCAATAGAGAGATACACATAAACAGCGAGAACGTATGTGTACAGTAACGTCGCATATGTACCTATCTAAATGGACTCACATGTGCTCACGGAGTACTAACAATACAAACGCGCCGGCTCGGCGGCTGCGCTGACTCGCATTCCTATTGCAAGCATCAGTCAAGCAGCCGGTCAGCCGCCCAACCTTTTAAGTTAAAAGCTATCAGTAAGTAAGAGTGGACAAATGCAGAGCGAGTTTGCGAGTGTTCTGCGGAAAGCTTTCGGCCGCTGCTCTTTAAGGGAATCAAGAAAAAACAAACACCAAAAGAGAGTAGTTAGGAAATATGTGTAGCTTGTCTATTTCATTATGTGTTAGCCCAGCAGTAAAATGAAGGCTGTAGATGGGTAGTCCGTTTAGAATCCACTGAAGGGTGGGACATAGAGTTCTAGCGTTTTTTTTTTTTAATATTTTATATGCATATAAGTGGCTGTAATAAGGCTAAAATGGATTTGAAGAAAGAGGCTGAATATACAAATTCATTGCACAGTCAAAATAATCCCTCGTCTTACACTATTGTAAATGGGACTGCCCCCCAACACTTTAAAAACCTAGTACTGTGATTTGAAGAAATGCTGATCCGAACCTCGATTTGGTCTTTCTGTGGTCTTGTATAGTGATCCTAAAAAAAACTGGCAGACTCTGTCGGCACTTATTCAACACATTGTTGTACATAGGTGTAGTAGTTGGCAATTGTGTTTCATTTACCTCAGAGGGGTTCAGGGTCCCCAGTCCGGCGTCGCATTTGCTTAGGAGTGCAAAGTAGGAATCGCTTTTCATGCGAAGCAAGCGTGACCAGAACTCAAAGCTTCAACAGAGGCAACTATTGGATATTTGTCGAGGGTCTTATAAATTAAATATATTATGACCTTTCATTCCTGATTATTGGACACTAAGTGTGTTCTGTACAATACATCAGATGGGGTACCCCACATTCTCACCAATTAGCTTTCTTTAGAGTTTAATCTATAGTAATATGTAAAAAAAAAAATTGAGACCCATACGACAACGGACTGAACGGGAATTATTTACAAAGTTTTAAATCTGAAAGATCCATCAAACCAACTATTCATAATAAGCCAAACGAACACTCGCATTTTGCAGTTCATATTTCCAAAGAGTGATAAGTGATATACGGCGACACTGAGCACAGTCAACTTCCGAGAAGGAAAGTAGCCCGTTTAAGTAACTATAAAGATACTCTCGGCGAAATCTCCTTAATTGGTTATGGAGCCCTTGATTTTTTTAGTAATTGCCTACATGAAAAACAACAAAGCGAAGGGGCTTGGCGGACTGCCGACGAAGCTATTTAAATACGGTGGTTAAGAAACGATAAGTTGCAGGCATCAGTTTCCTTGCATAATAAGGTCGGATTGCAACCGAAGTGGGCGCTGCCGAACTCAAAAAAGGTGGTATCACACGGTCGGCGACAATTACCGTGAGATAAGACTACTCATTATCGCGCATTAGGTCCCATCGAGGGCATTGTGTGGTACCGTCAAAAATCTGACAGGCTTTTTCCAGTTTGGCTTTAGCTCTGGGAGTTGGGAATGGCGCAGCCGATGGAACCAAGAGCTGTACGAGTTATACGGAAACATTGGCATAGTTCAGCAAAATAAGAGACAACGGCTCCAACGGCTAGGTCATGTAGTTCGGATGGATAAGAATACTCCAGCTATGAAAGTTTTCTATGGAGTACCCACCAGTGAAAGCAGAGGAAGTGGAACACCAAGTGAAGAAGGACCTGATTGCGTTTGGTGAATCCAATTGGCGTTAAATAGCAAAAAATAGTAATTATTGGCATGTTGTTGTGAACTCGGCTGTAATCACGCAAGCGCTGTCTCCGCCAGAAAAGAAGAAGAAGATTGGAAAAATTTTTAGAGCCACCAGAATTAACTTGTATTTATGTATGTACATAAGTTGAATTTGTATACATAAAAGGTTTGCATACTTAAAGGCGAGTAATGTAATCGAGAGAATCTATAATCAGAGAATATATTCATATACACATTGCTCTCTTTGAATGTTTTTAGCAGAATATCACTAGCCAGCTTCTGTTAAGAAAGTAAATTTTGTGGTGGCTGTTATTTAACAGCATGTTGAATTCCTGTCCCGAGCAGTTTCAGCAGTTGTCAGAGAATTTATAAGTTCTCTGAGTAATCATGTATTTTTCTTCTGAGAGCAAAGAGTAGTAAGTCCTGAAGTATTTTATAATAACTGAGATTGATGTTTGGGCAGCACTCAAATCAGCTGCTGCCAGTTTCATGGTATAGAAGACACTATTGTGGTATATACTCGTATGTACATACATAAATATAATTTAAATTTAGTGCAGTAGTGGGAGTTGGGAATGGCGCAGCCGATGGAACCAAGAGCTGTACGAGTTATACGGAAACATTGGCATAGTTCAGCAAAATAAGAGACAACGGCTCCAACGGCTAGGTCATGTAGTTCGGATGGATAAGAATACTCCAGCTATGAAAGTTTTCTATGGAGTACCCACCAGTGAAAGCAGAGGAAGTGGAACACCAAGTGAAGAAGGACCTGATTGCGTTTGGTGAATCCAATTGGCGTTAAATAGCAAAAAATAGTAATTATTGGCATGTTGTTGTGAACTCGGCTGTAATCACGCAAGCGCTGTCTCCGCCAGAAAAGAAGAAGAAGATTGGAAAAATTTTTAGAGCCACCAGAATTAACTTGTATTTATGTATGTACATAAGTTGAATTTGTATACATAAAAGGTTTGCATACTTAAAGGCGAGTAATGTAATCGAGAGAATCTATAATCAGAGAATATATTCATATACACATTGCTCTCTTTGAATGTTTTTAGCAGAATATCACTAGCCAGCTTCTGTTAAGAAAGTAAATTTTGTGGTGGCTGTTATTTAACAGCATGTTGAATTCCTGTCCCGAGCAGTTTCAGCAGTTGTCAGAGAATTTATAAGTTCTCTGAGTAATCATGTATTTTTCTTCTGAGAGCAAAGAGTAGTAAGTCCTGAAGTATTTTATAATAACTGAGATTGATGTTTGGGCAGCACTCAAATCAGCTGCTGCCAGTTTCATGGTATAGAAGACACTATTGTGGTATATACTCGTATGTACATACATAAATATAATTTAAATTTAGTGCAGGGATTTTTCGCAGAATTCTACATTTTGTACATTGCAATAATTAAAAATATTAGCCATTAATTTGGAACAATAAAATGTTAAATCGAATAATAAAATAGCAACAACAATTTGGTTTGTATATATTTTTATTGTATTATTCATCTCTTTTAAGCATCAATAACTGATTACTTTATTTTATACGTATGTATTATTTAAATAATTTTCATTTAATTTGATTTTCTTGAATTTAATTTCTTATAATTTTTATATATCTCGTTTTCATTAAACTAACAAAACATCAACAATAAACATTGTACAGTATCGGGTTCCTGTCTATATATATATCGTATATGTATGTATATCTGTATGTATTTGTGTTGTATAACTTTTAATTTCTTTCATTATGTGTACATGCCATTCAATTATATACTATTTCATTTACATATTTTTATATCTTGCATTTAGTTAAAATAAATATATGAACTTATACACATACATACATATATAGTTAATATACGTATGCATAGAATTAATTAATTCAATTTTTAGTTTGCTTTTTCTTCGTAGGCATGCATGCATGTATGCCTGTGAAAATGTGCTTACGCTAGCTGTATATATGTATGTATTTGTAAGATTTTGTCATTTTTATTTGTCAGTAAATATTTGAATGAGTCTAACTATACATGCTTGAGAAATGTTAAGAAAATTACAAAAGAAAGATTAAGAAAATATTTAAGGCATATAAAAAATTTAAATACTAAAAATGCTTTTAAATTAATTTAGTTAATTAGTTAATAATAATTTTAATAGATTTTGAGGGATACAATTTTAGTTCGAAAAATTATCAATTTTTCCTCTATACAAAAATGGCATACGTATGTATATAAGTGTCACAGATACTCGTTATATTCCTTAATTTAAGATCGAATACCCAGTTGGATATTTCTAGCCCGAGACTATGTATCATATGCATTAAAGGCGAAACTCAGATGACATTGCTAAAATTTCAATTGTTGAATCCTCTTGAGTTTCTTTAAACCACAATTACTTTAACTTGATTTCGAAGAATTACCGCCACCGGTTTGTTTTGGCAAAATAAAAAAAAATGCACCGCATATACATATGTTTACTTTATATACATACATATGTAAGTATTTGCTGATTATTGCAAAAACGTAATTGACTTGAAATGCCGATGTCTGCTTGCAAAAATCTATTTACATAATTACATATAGTACATACATACAGACGAACGCAATGTATAATTATAAATCCAATAAAAATTATATAAACAGACTAATTAAATATTCATAGTATATATTTATATACTCGTATGTATGACTAATCATTTTCAGTGCTTATATAAACATGATATCAGAGATCATTGAACTTAGAGGGTTATTAATATTGTCGTACTAACTTTAAAATAGAAGAAGTGCGAATTCGCTGAAGAAAAAATGGAAAACGCGATGAAACTAAGCTCAAGGCTGTGATAATGAAAAGAAATTCTCTCAAATGAGATCACTCAGATCAGTTCCTATTCAGAGTGAGTTTTTACAGATTGAAAATATTTTTAAACAAAAAATCTACTTTGAGTAGCAACCTACATCAACTCAACTCAACAAAAATGTATAGGAGAGTTTTCTCTTAATACCAGATATTTACCATGCGCCAAAGTTTGTAAAAGGCCTGTGAAACGAGGATTGACACAAATCTCCTCTTTGTCAATTTTAAAGCAGCCTTCTACAGCACGAACAGCAATCATGTGACT